CCTTTCTGGAAGCTGTTTGGTCCTCTTGAGAAATCTGCACTCTTGCCTCACTTTTCCCCTCTACCTACTCATTCCCTTTCCTTTGGTGTCTATTCTGTGTGGACCCGTAAATCAAGATGCTTTCATCATCCCTCAAGTGTTTTCATGTTCTCTTTTAATTTAGGAAGAAGATGAAGTATGCCTAAAATAATTATAACAATCATATAATTTTCACCTTTGTCTCCTTAATATTGACAAAATTCCTTATCACATCAGTCAAGGCTATCCATAATTTAGCAACATCCTGCTTGTCCAGTGTTGTCTCGTGTTGCCTCTGATCTCTTCTCTTCACTCACTCTGGCTCTAAAGGTTGTTCTGTGCAACAAACACAGAGCGGGGATGATGGAGAAAATAATGGAGGACATGGCTAGCCCAATAGTAAAAAAGTTTGAGAGATAAGAGTTGAGTGGGACTTGGAAACTCCACTACTCATATTATGGACAAGGCTGCAGGGTGCCTCAGTGTTATCAATCTGGACTTTTGTGCCCCGACCTGCTGCACGCAGCCTAAGAGAGGCCATTTTCAGTTCCCCAATTCCAGGACAGTTAGGGAACTCTGGGGCTTCCTGTCACTAGAACCCAATTTCTCTCTTCTAGTCCCTGCCAATTTCTGAGTACTCTAGAAATTAGGTATTCATACAAGAAAACAGGATTTTTTTTTCTCTTTTGTGGCCTAGAAATATGAAGTCAAACTTTCACTATCCTAGAGAGACACCACTTGTATTCCTCTGATTCTAGGACAGCTGTGAGGACTCTGGACTCTTCTATCTGTATATCCCTTATTGTGCTTCTAGTAGAGTCATTGCCAGATTCCATGGGCATTCTAGCTATGAGAGAACAACAGTAATGGATAGAATTCTTTGACCTAGAATCTTAAAGTCAAATTCTCAGCTAAGCCTGCTGCTCAGAAGAAAGATCTAACTGAACCCCTGGCTCCTCTTTACCACCCCTGCTCCACATTTGACAATGTCTCCATCCCTCTCCCCTTCCCTGCCCTCACCCCCTGTTCTCCATGTGGGGCAGCAGCTGGCTCAGCAGCAGGGCCGGGGCCTTCACATTGACATTCAAGATCTGAAATCAGAGCAAATGTGGGTGGGGGAGGAGAGACATTCAGTCCAGTGCATGTTCTCACTGTATTAGCAAATATACCACATTAGAACATGAGCGTGCTGGCTTCTGACAATGGGGAGAGTGCTGACTTTCTTTGATACAATGGCGGGTGGGGGATCCTGAAATAGCGGAAATATGGGGATCAGGAAGACTTTGTAGGCATAAGACCCAGAGTCTGCGGAATGTCTCCCTGTGTTTGTAAGGGTATCAGGAAAAAAAAGTCCTATCTGGGCCTGAGGAGGCACTGGCCAATTGAGTCTGGGGAAGGCTGGCATTGTAAACTGAATTGTGTACCACCCAAATTCTATGTTAAAGTCATAACCCTTAGTACTCAATAATGTGACCTTATTTGGAACTAGACTCATTGCAGATGTAGTTAAAATGAGGTCATAATATGGGCCCTAATTCAAAATGAAGGGTGTCCTAAGAAGGGAAATTTGTGAGCGCACACACACTGAGAATATCATGTGATGATGAAGGCAGAGGTTGGAGTGATGCTTCTTTCTATAAGCCAAGTAACATCAAAGATTGCCAGCAAATCACCTGTAGCTAGGGGAGTGGCATGAATAGATTCTGTCATAGCCATCAGAAGGAACAAACCCTGCTGATGCCTTCTGACCTCCAAGACTGTGAGAATAAATTCTGTGTGTAAGCCACTTGAGTTGTGGTACTTTGTTATAGCAGCCATCTGAAACTACAATAATACAGCTGGATTTCAGGGTTTAAGCCTTGGACATGAAACATTTTTAGGCAAGGAAGGGAGTCATTCTCTTCTCTGTGCCCCACATTGATTGTGATGATCTGGTTCTCTGCTGAACCCTTCCAGCAAACTGGGAGCTCATGAACAGTGGGGGATAGAACTAGAGTATAGCAAGCATGTCAAACTCGTGGTTGCCTCCATCTTAGAGATGAGGAATTGAGGGTCAGAGTCCAGGCACCTGGCCTGCTCGGTGCTTGTTGGTCTGTGAGGGGAAGGTGTGTGGGAGCTGAGATGGAAAGAGGGTTGCACAGAGGGTGAGGATGACATTCCATCAGCCCTACCTGGTGTCCCATACCTCACCTTGTCCCAGACCTCCTCACTGCTTCCCAAGGTACTTCCCACATAGGGATTGACTCCTGCCACGCACACCAGGAAGTCAACATTTCCAGAATGTTTCAGGGCCTGCAGTGAGAAGGGGCAATGAGGACCAGGGTCAGGGAGCAAAAGTTTTCTGTTGCTGTGTGAGGTGTTTCCTGGTTGCTCTCCCTGGGTCTCTGCCTGGCTAAATCCAGGAGGAGGCCACACCAAGCCAGTGGAGAGCTGTCTCTCATCAGAATTAAAACTTTTCTCCATGCAGATCTGTAAGCCTGCTCAGGCTCTGGAGTAACCAATGCCAAGCACATGGCCATACTTCATTCCTGCGCTTGTACGCTTGTTCATTTGATCAGGTTATGTTTTTAAAATGACCACTCTTCCTCTTGTTACCTCCAAACCCTACCCATCTCCTCACCGTGGCCACCAGCCAGTCTCGGTCCTCAGCCTTCCCCACGTGGCACACAGTGCCAGACACACTCAGCCCCTCCTCCTGCAGTGTTGCCAGTGCCTGGTCCACGTTCTGCTGCTTCCGGCTGCTGACCACCACGTGGGCCCCATCCTGGGCCAGACGCCGGGCGATGGCGAAGCCAATCCTGAGGGCAGAGATGGTTATGATGGCTTCAGCCCTCTCTGCCTCCTGGAAGGCTGATCATGAGACACAAATTGAGTTCCACAGTGTGGTTCAAGAACTGCCTCCAAACCTCTAGAGCAGTGTTTTTCAACCTTTTTTGGGCAAAGGCACACTTGTTTCATGAAAAAAATCACGAGGCACACCACCATTAGAAAATGTTAAAAAATTTAACTCCGTGCCTATATTGACTATATATAAAGTAATTCTCTTGAATAGGAATCAAATAAACACAAAGAAAGTATTTTATAATTACTTTATTATGAAATATTAAGTAAACAAAATAGTGAAAAATTATAAAATTCTTTGTCTTGTCTGTACCTACGGCACACCAGGCAACATCTCGCGGCACACTAGTGTGCCACGGAACAGCGGTTGAAAAACGCTGCTCTAGAGTGGGAAAGAGGAATTATTGAACATTTTCTATACATCAAGCCTTCACCAAGACTAATCCAGTTAATTTTCACAACTATATGTATAACAATCATACGGATGAGAAAATTTTCATAACAGTTTAATTGAAGGGTATTTTTAAAAAGTAATGCTCCTTCAGAACACATGTACATGTGCTGGGCATCCAGTGTGAATGGCAGAGAATCTTTAACTGCCCAGCGTTTCCTCCCTTTGTTGTAGTCAGAGGCCTCTGGTGTAACTTGCACTTTCTATAAGCCTTAAAGCTTTCCTCTGTCCTGCAATTTAAAAACTTTGATGCTGAGAACATGCTCTGCCCCCATTCTCCAGCTCCTTACTTTAAGGAGGTCAGAAGCACTCTTGACTTGGGCTGATTGAGTACCTGTGATCAAGGGCAGAAGGCATATGTCCCCTCTCTTATAGAAACTGCTAGGACAAATAGAGTTTTGAATTACTCATTTGTGCATTGGGGACACACAGATTTAAAAACATGATTGGGGCCTGGCCAGTTTTGCTCAGTAGTGAGCATTGACCTATGTACCAGGAGGTTATGGTTCGATTCCTGGTCAGGACACATGCCTGGGTTGCTGGCTGGGACCCCATTAGGGGGCGTGCAGGAGACAGCCAATCAATGATTCTCTCTCATCATTGATGTTTTTATCTTTCTCTCCTTCTCCCTTCCTCTCTTGGAAATAAATAAAAACATATTTAAAAAATAAATTAAATATCATGGTGATGTGGAAGTCTGGGATATTAACAATTCTAAAATAAAGCGATCTAAATTTGACCATGAAATTTTGGCCATGAAAGGGCAAAAGGAAGACAGAGCCCCTGGCCACCAGAATCCCCCCTCCTGCCGTGGTAATGGCTCATTAAAGACTGTGGCCTTTATGGCAGTTAGAGTATACGTGGAATTAGAGGTACACAGGAAGAGATGTGACCAGGAGAAGGCCATCTATGTAAGCTCTCTGAATGGATCTTGAGACGTCGCCTTACTCAGTGCCCTACTGCCAGTGAACTCTCTGCAGTCAATGGAATCCCTAAGTCTGAGAGACCAATAGGTCTCTGGTTTCTCCCTATTAGACCAGGACTCTAAAAGTCCATGGCCACGTGCCCATGAAGGATGGAGAGAGAGAGCTGTCCTGATGATGATAAGTTAAATACCTTAGGGCTACCCATCCAGTAAGCGGCAGAGACTAGATTCAAACACTGCTCTGATTGAACCAGGAGCAGTTGATTTTCCAAATCTATCATTCTTGAAACTTAGAAACCGGATGTTTTAGGAAGACACACTGAGTTTGGGGTTAATGATAAAGGCCAGAGTGGTGTAATGAGATGGAGGTCTCAGGAAGGATGTGTGAGAAGGACCTCCCCTGCTCTGGGATGGGAACTCTAAATCTGTTCATTACATGGACTCCCATTCACTCACCCATTTGTGGACCCAGTAACCACAGCTACTTTCCCAGCCAGTGGACAGCTTCTATCTACTGTTTTGCTGCTCATTCTTGCTGAGAGAAAGACTGAGGAGTGTTGAAGACCCTTAAAGGCCCAAGACATGGTCCTGAACATATTAGTCACTGTCTGGCCTCCGTCCTCCTGGACCCACGCTGGGGAAGAACCTGGGAAGACAATCGTCATGATCCATGTTAGAATCTGTCTCCACCCATCCTTCGTGGGAAGGTTCCATTGAAGTCTCTGATAGATGACCTACCATTTTTTAAATTTACCAGGAAAGCACAGAGCGGCTCATGTCCTTCCCATGATAAGTTCCCCAAAATGGGCTTCCCTGGGATGCCAGGCCCCTGGTAGATGACTGAGTGATACTTACCTGACTCACCATCAAACAAGGAATATCTCTGTGATCTTCTGAGAGTCACCTTTGCATTCCTCTCCATACATCTATTCTTCCACAAAGAAATTGCATTGGACTTTTATCTTTCCCCAGCCTGTTGCAACCACCATGGTCCAAGCTCTTGTCACCTTTCCTACCTGCTGCAAACTCCTCTTCTTTCAGCTCCCCAACTGAAGCAATAGCTCCTCATCAGATATACCACATGTGTCAGCATTTCTGAGAGGCAAGTTGTTTTCCCGCATCACAAATGACACTGATCCAACTGAGATAGAAGTCCAGCCACTCCCCCTTTGTTTAAAAAGCTTTTATAGGTCCCATACCTCACATCTCTTGAACTCCAGGCCATATTGTCCAGACCCCCCTGCCCAAAGATCCTATGGAACCTGTGTCATTGTAACCTTTCAGCAATACCTAATTTCTTCAGTAACTTTCTCCATACCCACATCTTTCATCCCAAACCTTCCCTCAATTTTATGGGGAGATCAAGGAACAATAGTTGTCTTGGGTTGGCTACCTCAGAATCACACTAAAAACTCAAGTAATTTTTTTGGAGATGGCCTTGGGAAGCAATGTAGGGGAGTGGAAGGAGCGAGACAGAAGGGAAGATAGCCCATAAGTGGTACATTATCAAGTGAGTTATGTCTATTTATAACTGAAGGTCAATCTTATTGAACTCTGAGCAATACTTTTGTTTCTTAATTATCACCTGAGAATATGTTTATTGATTTTAGAGAAAAAGGAAGGGAGAGTGAGAGTGAAAGAATATGAGAGAGAGAGAGAAAGAGAGAGAGAGAGAGAAAGAGAGAGAGAGAAAGAGAGAGAGAGAGAGAGAGAGAGAGAGAGAGAGAGAGAGAGAGAGAGAGAGAAATAGATGTGAGAAACATCAGTTGATTGATTGATCCCTGTACAGGCCCTGAAATAGAATCAAATCTGTAACCTTTTGATGTATGGGATGATGCTTCAACCAACTGAGCTCTCTGATGAGGGAGGACAAGGGACTGGCCTTAGGGTGACCAAGAATCCCTGTTTCTAGGACTGCAGGTTTTAGCACTGAAAGGCCCACATTCCAGCAAACTGCTAAGTCCTAGACAAATCAGACAGTTGGTTACCAGCACAGGGGCACATCCAACTCCTGTCAGTCACTAGATGAAGACTGCCCCTGGGGTGGAACAAAGAGGTGACCAGCAGAGACAGAGCAGGTAAGGTGGGATGGTGTGGTAACACAATGGGAATTTGGACTTTCTCTTAGGAGGGAAAAAAGCTTGTGGAGGTTTTTACAAAATGGTATTTTGACATAAATAAATGATGATCACACTCAAGGAGCCATAAACTTTATTCTAGGCCCTAATGACTAAAATAGCCAATCATTGCTTCTCTAGTGTTCATTTTTTGTATTAATCCTTATTCCATTTTCTGAGTGATCTAACCCAGTTTATTAAGCTGTTGCATAATATGGGAAGCTAACGTAACCCTTCCCAGGAACAAAATCATAGAGCTCTGAAAATAGACAAGTTCACATCTGTATGCAACATAAAAGCTCTAAACAATCATGTACTTACTACCTAAATCTCTGGGTTTCCAAGCAAGTTCAATGCTGTTGATATCAAGAAATATTGTGGACTGAATTGTGTCCTCCTGCCCCGAGGTTCATATGTTAAAGCCCTAACCTCTATGGCTTCAGAGTGTGATTGTGTTTGAGATGGGACCTTTAAAACATTTTACATATAAAAAACAGACTTATGAATAAGGACCTTTATCATCTGATTTGTAATCGTTGAAAAAAGAGATAAACTTAAATGCTGAATATGGTATGCATGTTACTTGATGGAATTTGTGTAGCCATTAAAAATGGTGTTCATAAGTAATTTGTAACAATACTGAAATGTTTTTGTTAAAATGCTAACTGAGAGAGTCGTTCCAAGATGGCTGCACAGGTAAATACCTAGCCGCAGCCGCACACAACAATTTCAATAAAATATAACTAAAATATAAAATTGACATTACCCAGAACTACAGGAAAGTCGACTGACTGGAAATTCTACAACAAGAAGCAAGGAGAAAACCAGAATGAAGCACGGAGGAGCTGTAAAAGCCTAAGGTACGAGACTTGCGGCGCACACGGAGAAGACGGAGCAGGAGAGGAGGGAGGCTGAGTGCCTGGCTGGCGTTCCCTAGCAGGAAGGAGATAAAAGCTCCAACTGTGCTGGGCCCCAGACCCGACTGCTCTGAACCCAAGTTCTAGGCCAGACCTGGGGGACCCAGGCTCAAACAGAGGGAGCTGGGCTGTAAGGTGGAACCCCGGGGGAGCAGTGAGAGGAGGTCCCGGAGGCGCGCACATTGCAGGCAGAGAAGGGATGGTTTGCTGTGCCAAGGAATTGCCCTGGCAGGAAGGAGACAGGGGCTCCAGACTGCTCTGAACACCACCTCCAACTCCACTTCCAACTGAACTGAACCCCAATACCGGGCTCATTGGGGGAGAGCCTAGACTGTTTGGCAGCAGGCGAAAATTGAGGGCACCTTTCTCTCAGAGGTGCTTGCAACAAGTACTGAAGGACCCTGAGACGCAGGAGCCTCATAGGGTGGGACTGACGGAAGCCAAAGCTGTAGGCTCCACCCTGAAACCCTGCCCCATCCAAGCAGAACACAGAGACTTTTAAGGCTACCAACTCAGGGAAGCTGTGAAAATGCCGAGACGAAATAGATCACAAATGAAAGAAATGGAGGACAAAAAGCGACTGGATATAGAGTTCAAATCTACGCTTATAAGGCTTTTCAAGAATTTCCTAGAAAAGATGGATAAAACCTATGAGGATATGAAAAGGGATCAACTAGAATTAATAAGGAATCAACAAGAAATGATAAGGGATCAGCAAGAAATAAAGAATACATTGACTGAAATAAAAAATATTATACAGAGTCCTAAAAACAGAATGGAAGATCGCAAGAATCAAGTCAAAGATTTGGAACATAAAGAGCCAGAAGACACTCCTCTGCAGAAGCTAGAAGGCAAGAGAATCCAGAAAATTGAAGATAATGTAAGAAACCTCTGGGACAACTTCAAGTGAACCAACATCAGAATTATGGGGGTCCCAGAAGATGAGAGAGAGCAAGATATCGAAACCATACTGAAAGAAATAGTGACAGAAAACTTCCCCCACCTGGTGAAAGAATTAGACTTACAAGTCCAGGAAGCACATAGAACTCCAAACAAAAGGAATCCAAAGAGGACCACACCAAGACACATCATAATTAAAATTCCAGCCGGGACTGGTTTGGCTCAATAGATAGAGCGTTGGCTTGGGGACTGAAGGGTCCCAGGTTCGATTTCGGTCAAGGGCATGTACCTTGGTTGCGGGCATATCCCCAGTAAGGGGTGTGCAAGATGCAGCTGATCGATGACACTCTCTCATCGATGTTTCTAACTCTCTATCTCTCTCCCTTCCTCTCTGTATAAAATCAATAAAATATATTTTTAAAAAAAATTCCAAGAGCAAAAGACAAAGAGAGAATATTAAAAGCAGCAAGAGCAAAGCAGATAGTTACATATAAAGGAGCACCCATACGATTGTCAGCTGATTTCTCAACAGAAACCATGCAGGCCAGACGGGAATGGCAAGAAATATTCAAGGTGATGAATAATAAGAACCTACAGCCAAAGATAATCTATCCAGCAAAGCTATCACTCAGAATCGAAGGTCAGATAGAGCTTTACAAATGAAAAAAAGCTAAAGGAGTTCATCACCACCAAACCAGAATTATATAAATTGCTGAAGAGGGTTCTTTCGGAAGAGAAAGTAAATAAAGATAAAAATTATGAACAACAAATATGTAACTATCAACAAGTGATTCTAAAAACCAAGGAAATTAAAAAAAAATCTGATGAACAATATTAACTGTTGAACATAATAGAATCAGAGGTATGGAAGGGGAGTGAACTGATGATTCTTGGGGAAAAGGGGAGAGGGGGGTGTGAGAAGAGACTGAACATAAATTGTGCACCTATGGATGAGGACAATGGGGGGTGGGGAAAGGGCAGAGGGTGGGGTGGGAACCTGATGGAAGAGAGCAATGGGGGGGGGGGGGGAAGGAACATTTGTAATAATATGAACAATAAAAAATTATTTAAAAAAATAAAAAAATAAAATGCTAACTGAAAAATCATGACACAAACTTATATACAGCATGGCTGAAATTATATTAGCATAAACGTCTATACAGAAAAATATAGTAAATAAGCCTGAAAGTAAATAAGCTGTGATAGAATAAAAGTGATAGATTAAATATGTACTTCAGCCTTCTCTTCTTCCCTTTCACCACTAAAAGATGCTTCTTAAAAAAGGAAGAAATGGCCGAAACCGGTTTGGCTCAGTGGTAGAGCGTCAGTCTGCGGACTGAAGGGTCCCAGGTTAGATTCCGGTCAAGGGCATGTACATTGGTTGCGGGCACATCCCCGGTAGGGGGTGTACAGGAGACAGCTGGTCGATGTTTCTCTCTCATCGACATTTCTGGCTCTCTATCTCTCTCCCTTCCTCTGTAAAAAATCAATAAAATATATTTTTTAAAAAGGAAGAAAAGAAACAAAACCAAAGCAATACAAAACACACATAAAAACAAAACAAAACAACACAAAAAACTTTATAAAAATTATGAGAAATTCTAGAGTTAGCTTTCTAGAGAAAGCTCCAGTTCAAAATACCTTTTAATGCATGGGAGAACAGCAGTAAAAGCTGAGAGCAGCTGTAGGTGCCCCAAAGCTCAGAGGCAACAGATAGAAATAGTAGGAGGGGCCAGGTAATTGTCAGAACAGGGTACTTGCATTCGGAGGAGCTTAGGCCATTGGAATTGTTCTCTGAATCACTGCCATTTTATCAAGCACCCCCTGAACAAGAGCACAAGAAAAACAGAAGAGCCAAAACCTGTTGGCTCAGTGGATAGAGCATTGGTCTGCAGACTGAAAGGTCCCAGGTTCGATTCCGGTCAAGGGCATGTACCTTGGTTGTGGGCACATCCCCAGTAAGAGATGTGTGAGAGGCAGCTGATTGATGATTCTCTCTCATCGATGTTTCTAACTCTCTACCCCCCTCTCTTCCTCTCTGTAAAAAAAAAAAAAATCAATAAAATTTATTTAAAAGAAAAGAAAAACAGAAGAAAGTTGGATTAGCCCGGCCAGTGTGGCTCTTTGACCTATGAGCCAGGAGGTTATGGTTTGATTCCTGGTCAGGGCTCATGCCCAGATTGTGGGCATGATCCGGTAGGGGGTGTGCAGGAGGCAGCCAATCAATGGTTCTTTCTCATCATTGATTTTTTTTTCTCTCTCTTTCTCCTCTCTTTTTATCTCTCTGAAATCAATGAAAAAATATGTATTTTTAAAAGAAGCTTGGATTAATACAATAAAAGGAAGAAAAGAAGAAAAAGACAGCATAATGAAAAACATAAAATAAGATTTCAGGAATAAGTCCAAATGTACATGGATATTCATAATAAATGCAAATGGATTAAGTCAACATACTAAAATTAAATCTTTTAATAACCCAGTTAAATATAATTCACAAGTGACACAATTAGAACAAAATGACTAAGGAAGATTGACAAAAAAGGAATAGATGTTGACATAGCAGGCAAATACTAAAGGACAAGTAAGTAAGATAATATAATTAGACAAAATATAATTCAAGGGAAAAGGTATTAAAATGAAAACTGAATAATTTATATTCATAAACTATACATAAAACAAAAATTATAGTAGTCATTGTTATGTACTTAACACATAAGTTTAACTTTCTTTGTTGTTGTTAATCTTCACCCAACGATACTTTCTCCATTGAGTTTTAGAGAGAGTGGAAGGGAGGGGAAGAGACAGAGAGAAACATCTGATGTGAGAGACACATCACTCGGTTGCTTTCTGCACATGCCTACAACGGAGGCATGTGTCCTTGACCAGAATTAACTGGAGACCCCTTAGTCCATGGGCCAATGTTCTAACCATTTAGAAAACTGGACAGGGCTTAACACATAAAATTGACAAAAACGAAGTTACCAGGTAACTTAACATATATCTTTCTGAAATTAACACTTTAATGGACAAGATGTAAGATTATAGAGAATTTTACATAATAATTAACAAAGAAATCTCAATAAATTCTGAAGTGCAAAAATTATGTGGATCATCCTTATTCACTAACATATGTACAAAATATAAATTAACACATAAGTACAGTACCTTCCCCAAGTCATATACCTGGAAATGTTAAGTCCCCATATAAAATAGCTTTTGGAAGAGAAAAATCAAAGCAGAAATCACTGTTTAGAAATGAGCAGCAGTCTGAGCACGTTGCAGAAGAATAAACAGGATAGAATGTTGTCAAAAGCAATCCATAGAGAACAAAGCAGAGTCTTAAATACATTTTTCAGAAAAGAGATAATAGAAAATAATAACATAGATTTTTTTATTCAATAAATTAGTAAGAGAAAAACATTAATAAATCCTAAAAGAAACACATTTATTAAAAGCACAAATTATGAAACTGAAAATAAAGAAAACCAACAAGTTATTGGGGGGGGGGGGAAACACGTCAAATTCTAAAGATGGTTTTCCTTTGGTGGGAGTACAATTTTCCCCCTTGAATTTCCACTCTTATTCACTTCACAAGTTTTCTATAAGAATTAAACATTGAGCCCTAACTGGTTTGGCTCAGTGGATAGAGTGTCAACTCACAGATGAAAGGGACCCCGGTTTGATTCCAGTCAAGGGCTCATACTTTGGTTGCAGGCTCAATCCCCAGCCAGGGTCAGAGTGTGTGTGGGAAGCACTCAATCGACATGTTTCTCTCATATCCTTATTTCTCTCCCCCTCCCTTCCTCTCTCTCTAAAAATCAATGAAAAATTATCATCGGATGAGGTTTAATAACAACAAAAAGTATACTATTTAAAAGTCTACTTTTCTTAAATGCCCAGTTAATTTTTGGAGGAATGTCTGAGTCTAGTGCTGAAGCAGGAAAAATATTAGATGAACCTGAAGCAACTTGTTCTTCCAGGAAGTGAACAACTGAAGGGATGCTGAAAGGACAGAGGAGCCAAACTGAAAGAGGTCCTGATGGCCAAAGCTCAAAAACATGAGCAACAAAATAAATCCCGTTGTGTTGAATTTTTATCTAAAATATAAAACAGTTACACACGTGTCCATACTCACACAAAAAAACTACTAAGTAAATAATGGGAAGGGACCATAGAAACTTCACAGTGGGCAAACCTGGCTAACCCTAACCCTAACCAGATGATCAAGGTTAACCTCCTCACAGGAATCCTGTGCTGTCATGGACTCTCTGATTTGAAGAGATAAGGACATTTCACCTTTGTCATATTCTTCTCTCAAGCCCATCATCCCAGTCTAATCATCAAGAAAACATCACATAAATCCAAATTCAGGTACATTCTACAGCATCTAGACCAAAACTGTTCAAAATGTTAAGGCCACAAAAAATACAACTGAAAAATTGATGGATGGGAGTAGATTAAGGAGACAGGAGGATTACATGCAGGGTGGCATCCTGGATTGGATCATGCAGCAGTAAAAGGACAGCAGTGAGAAAACTGGTGAGATATGAATAAAGTAGTTGGTTTGGTTCTAATATTACACCAGTGTTACCTTCCGAGTTCTGAGGAATGTGCCACTGTTTCATACAAGATGCTAGTTAACATTAGGGGAAACTAGGTGAAGGGGGACACAGGAACTCTCTACGCACTATCATTGCAACTTTTCAATAAATCTAAAATTATTCCAAAATAAAAAGTTAACTGTTAAATTGATAAACTATGCATACTTTAGCTGATTTTGAGAGACTGTGTCATAAATTTGAGTGCAGAACCTAGCAATGATTATTAAAGCTATGAATACCAAAAGATGTTACTAAAATTTTCACAACTTTAAATTAGCTGTACACTTAGAGACTTTCTGTACCGTGTATGACAATTGGGCTGTTCTGAAATTTTCTAAAATAGCATGGTCCAGCCGAAACCGGTTCAGCGTCGGCTTGGGGACTGAAGGGACCCGGGTTCGATTCCGGTCAAGGGCATGTACCTTGGTTGCGGGCATATCCCCAGTAGGGGGTGTGCAGGAGGCAACTGATCGATGACTCTCTCTCATCGATGTTTCTAACTCTCTATCTCTCTCCCTTCCTCTCTGTATAAAATCAATAAAATATATCAAAAAAATAAAATAATAAAATAAAATATCATGGCCCAGTTTCACTGAAGAAACCTCCAGACACACTCCCAAGGCAGCAGGATTCACAGGAGGGCCTGGATAGATCCTCCCATCCTTCCTGAGACCAGGCTGCAAGAGCCCTGCTGGCCGGGATCTCTAAGGGTGGGGCCCGTTGGCTTACTGGTGCCTCCGTCAGTGGCTGAAACTTGCTACCACAGCAGGGAATGGGGACTTTACTTGATAGTTCCAGGTACAAAATAAGTATGGTTAGCACTTCCTCTGATAAGGACTTGAGTGTCTGCCCTGAGACTCTCCCTGTCCTCTCGGTGGAGACCAGGGTAGGTCACTGACCACTGAGGCCTCAGAGCCAATCTTAAGGCTTACATGTAGGGATTGTGCTGAGAAGAGGTATGTCTCCTAGAGTCTCTGGCCTCTCCAGTCTCTAGAGCCCTCTGCCCCCAGGAGGACCCCTGGAGGCAATAGACAGACATACCTGGGACAGATGGACGCTGTGCTTTTCTCCGATCCTTGAACAGAAGCCTGGGACCACAGCAGTCATGGAACTCTGCTGATGGCCCGGTGTGTTCTGGTATATAAGGGCTTCATCCTGCTCCCTTTTGTCTTTCTAGACACTCCCCTAAATTCACCCTGTCCCTCCCTGCCCACCACCCTCCTAAGCCCTTTGGTGAATCATGAAAACATCTAAGATTAATGTGAAGTCCTTAGAATCACCAATAATTTCCCTGAATAATCCCTCTATAGCACACGTATCAAACACAAGGCCCGCGGGCCAAATCCGTCCCGCCAGGCCTTGCAATGTGGCCCGCACCGCGCTGTCATCACTGCACTCCGCTGCGTTTCCATCACAATGACAGTTTATGACTGTTCAGTAAACCATTCGGCCCGCGATTTAGGCTGGATTTTAGATTTTGGCCCCTTCTCTGATTAAGTTCGACACCCCTACAGTCTTAGTCTATCTCTAAAGCTGCCCCAACTAGGTTCCTGGTAACAAAGATCCTGGAAGAAGACAGGAGTTCACATTCCCAGAGACAGTGCAGACATGGGGCATGGGGTGATGACTGCAGTAAGAGAGAAGGGACTTGGTAAGGAAGTGGACATGAGCCGTGTGTGTGTGTGTGTGTGTGTGTGTGTGTGTGTGTGTGTGTGTTTTGGCTGAATTTCAAAAGCATTTCTGGCTCCTCTTGATGTTTGTTATGATGAATTGTGTTTCTATGAGTGGAGTGTTCATACTTGTGACATGTGTTTGGAAATTCTACTTACTCTGCAGGTTTCCTGACACTAAGAGCACTGTTAGGCAATTTTTGGATCCTTCGGAAATGTGTGCAAGTTGACACTGAACAGTGAGGTCAAAATGTGTTTATCTCGTCCCTGAAAGTGCTGTGCTCCTATATATGCCATGGACTTCTTCAATTGTGCAATATTTTAAATGACTGGAAAAGAACAACATAATATATTCAACTCCCACATTTAGCAAATAATACTTTCCCTATTCGCTTCATCTTTTTTTTTTTTTTTTTAATGAAAACATGGCACTCTCCCTACAGGGAGCAAACCTATGCATTCCTCTCTCCTTTTCCCCTCTCCTTCCTCCATAGACATGTACCCCCTAACTTCTAAGGGACCCCATGAGACTTGTGACAGTGGGAGAAATAGGTAGTGGCAGCTCACCCC